ACACACCTCTATCTGCTGTCTGTCAGATAGCAGAAAACAGCAACCCCACACATGACGAGTGAAACAATGACCCAATAATGGGTAGAGCATGAACCTGAGAGGCGGCGAGGTAAAGGCATCCCCCAGCCCCGATTGACCGGAGGATGTTCACTTGTTTGAGTAGAAGGTGACACTGATATCCACCGCCTGTGTCACACACAACTTAGTGGTAACCAAATCTGCCTGCAAGGCCCCAACTTACTACTTCCATCTTCCCCTCTGCTGACAGCTGACCATGGGGAGTGATGAATGGGAAGGTCTTGCTGCCAACCCAAGCACACAAAGAACCCGATATGTACATTTTGACATGAACAGATGCACGGGGACTCATACCCCCCCCCCACAGTCATTCATGAAAGTAATTTCATGTTTTTATTTTTTCTTGCAAAATATTATTTCTGCCAAACACCCACCACATGAGCCTAAAAGTTCAAAGCTATGTATTAACGTAAATCTTTTAAAAATCAAAAAGATTAGGTACACCGTTGTACACTGAAAAACTGCAACAGTAATCTGCTGACAGATGAAACGGATACCGCTGACCGTTTTGTTACAATGAAATGTTCTGCTGGAAAATCTTGGGTCTTGCTAATTCGTGTGGATGCCACCCACCGAAAAGCAGCTCCATCCTGTAGAACAGTGCACCGGGCCACACCTCAAAAATTCCTCAGAACAACCAAAGAAAGTTCAAATCAAACACAGACTACAGATCCCATTTCCCACTGGAATAAGTTTGATGCACACCTGGGAACCCAGAGAAGTCCTCTGCCACAGCACATCCCAGCACCCTATCACGCCCCTCTATCATCATTTATCCATGACTTCATGGGTCAGACCTGAGATAATTTTAACAAAATAAAATGCAAAAAAATGTTATAAAGTTATAAAGTGATTTTTTTGAGTAAAGGAATCTACCAGTGTTTCCACTAAGAAATCAACCGTTTTTTGTGCATTTGTTTTGAGTGTTTGTTTATTAATTTTTCTAACTGTGCTAAATCATAAAATAGTTAGGAATTGGGAATGTAAATAAATGTTTGCTCAATCATTAAAAGATTTATCACTTTCCCTTCCTTGGCTAATTGATTACTGGACTAATCACCTCCCTTAATATCGTGTGATTAATCCCTGCCTTCATGCTCTGATGATCAATTTTAACCTTGATGCTCTTCTCCAGATTGTCTCACAGTGACTGATGACTCTTGTTTGGACAGCTCACTCAGCTGTTTTGTGGGAACAAAACCTGTAAACTCCACCAAAACATCATTTCAAACAGTAAACCTCCCTGATGCAGATCTGTGGGTGTAACAGCAGTGGGGGTTTTTTTTAACAAAACTCTGATTGCCAGCTCTGATCCACTTTCCCACGCTGTGCCTCCAAATAAGGAGAAGGGGCAGGTTTTGATTGGCTCTCCATTCTGTTTGGATTAGATAATAAGTTACCTGCCACTTCTTAATCAGCACTGAAAATCCTTACATAACCCCCCCCCCCCCCTTCCTTTCATTTAAACACACAAGCCACACAAACAGCAGCTTGTTTGGTATCTCATCGAACTGGGACACCACTCCACCACTATGCGTAAAAGTCTTGCGTCCTGCGCTCACCAGGTGGTTTTGGCTTTATCAGAAGCACGCGGACATTTCCTGCAAAGTTCCCAGAGAAGAGCGTGATCTACCCCGTGACTTGACTGAATCACTGATGATGTGAAGAGTCCAAAAGTTGCCAAAACTTCGGATAGAATGAGTGGCAAGCAGAGATTCAGACAAGGAGCGACTTGTTGCAGAGAACTGTGCCAAACTGATGCGCGCTGCACTTTGCGTGAGCCAGGGTTTAGCCTCAATACGTGACAACATCCAATTTTACATTTATATTTTATTTTTGGCAAATAAAATGACATATTAGTAAACTTGCGTCCACCTGCGCGTCCTAAATGGCCATTTCAACGAACATAGTGTTTTACGCGTTCTTTTAAGAGAAATCGGAATGTTACAGCAAAAAAACCCAAAACAAAACAAAAATTTTAAAAGCGCAATTATCACATAAACGTGGCAAATTTCCATCAAACAAGGTCCACTTACCGGCCACGCGAACTGGAAGGGAATCTTGATCTTCCCGACATCGTTGTTCCGGTTCTGTCCCGTTTTCTGTCCGCCTTTGAACTGAAAAGTATTCCCACCGATAACCTGTGTAGTTTCCGTGCCGTAGGTGCACGGTCCATTAGTCGTGACCTCCGTTTGGTATTCCTTTAAGCACACTCTTAAGTAGGTGTCACACTCGTCCTCGCCGCAGTGGCCTTCCGCCGCGCTCTTCTCGTCGTCGCAACAATCGCCGTTGTTTAGCAGACCTTTGGGGTTTTCCACCGAAATCAACTGCAGCTCGAAGTAACCGGTGGCCCGAGACACCTGAGGAGAACAAGGCAGTGTGAAAAAAATGCCTAAGATGGTAGCAGCATCTCTCTGTAACAGGTAATTAAAATAATAATAATAGTAATTTAAACCTTACATTTAGTCAGTTTATTGTTTCTATCAGTGATTCATGCAGGTATACAAAGTGTTGCATGACCCTCGGTTAAATAACCATCGCCGCCCTTACGAGAAATGTCACTGATTCAGTGAAAGCTCTCCACAAAACTGCACGCGAACATTCCAGGTGGAAACAAGTGGATGTGGGGAGAAAACACGACCTGGGCTCATGTGTTTGCAGCGCAGTCACTCTGCACAGACGCTACTGTACATTTTTGGCACGTTTCAGCTTCAGGACCTAGCATTCCCAGTTTAGCTCACTCTGCAGATCAGTCTGCAGTCCTGCTTTACAAACACATCCACCTTGAAAACCCATCCAGTCTGAGTTAAAAGTCAAAATCACCTAAAGTGAAAAGACAAGCAAACCATTAAAAGATTTAGAGGCGCTTGCTGCTGATAACAGCAGTAGAGGGATTCTCTGTGCAGGTGAGGGTGCACTGCTAACATGTGAAGACACTTAACGATCTTTTTTTTTTCTTAGAGTAACCAAACTTTCAAGAGCGGGCGCGCATTAACGCACTCGGTGCGGATGGCAGTCATTTGGCGCCTGGATGAGAACAAATTTGCGGATGTCTGCTGTTACACGCGCAATTATGACACAGCAGAGAATTTTGGCAAATCTAATTTGTCTCCCGAAATTCCAGAACACGTGATTCAGGAGGCAATTCAATTAAGAATGGAATTTATTCCGAGCCCCCCACAAGAACCCCCCCCCCCCAAAAAAAACCAAGCAACCACACACAACAAACCCCCAACAACAGCATTAATAATAATAATAATCAGAACTTCAGAGCAACAAAATCATCATTTGCCTCGGAGCTGAAAGATATAAAGTTCTCACCTCAGCCCGCAGCGTCAGGAGAAGACACACTAAGAGGAAGAAGCGCTGCAGTTTCCCCAGATTAGTCCACATGTCTCCGGCTGCTCGGTGTTGGTTACCATTAGGGAAAAGCGAAAATATGGATGTCTCAATGAGTCAAAAAATAATAATGAATGAGGCAAAAAAGCAGAATCCTCTTCCTCCTTCTATCCAATACATGCACGGCTGCTGCTCCTCCCCGGGATGCCCGCGGCTCTGGAGGAGGAAAAGCGCACTGGTGCTGCTGCTGTTTGGTCCACGGACTCACAACAAGACGCACAAACTCCAATTCCCTCCGCCGCTCGATGCACTGAGCAGCAGGGACTAGAAGCAGCGTGCGTCTCTCTGCCCAAAGCCGGAGCTCTCTTTGACGGCCAGCCCAGCGGACCAATCGCAGCCCCGTTAGCGTGGAACGTCGGTGTAGAGAGCCAATGAAGAGAGGGGCGGGAAAAAGGGAGGACAGCTGATAGATTTATTATTGACGTTTTCTCACACTTTACCTCGAATTGGGCATTTTTAAGGCTCTTAGCAAAAAATCAAATCAATTAAAACAAAATTCAAACAAAAGTTTCTCTGTATGTTTCTCTATATGAAATTGTCACGATAAAAATGTGACAGAAAAAATGTACAGAGAAACTTTTGCTTTTATTCTTATAATTCACATGCTGTAAACGATAGCCATAAATAATCAGTGAAGACATGCAGAGCGCAGTTCATGCTGTTTGCGCCACGAGCTGCTCCTCACTGACTTGCAGCCTGAGGAAACAGGGCTGTTAGCGCCCTCTACTGACTCCCGAGACTGATGCACTGTAAATTTACACCTTTGTTGTCTTATGTTTTCTGACGTGCTGCATGAGTGCCTACACTAAATAACTCCTGCCAATGCAGTCAATGCATGTCAGGCTTAAAGCAACTCCTTAAGCAGCATGAAGAGTTTAATGTGTAAGATGAAAGAGGATCCCACCTACTGTTTGTGTCATTTTCTGCATCCACAGTTTCACACTGTCCCATCTCATATTTTTTTAAAAACTAATTCTAGAGAAATGTCTGCATTGTTATCTTGGTGCTCCAAATCTCCATTATCTGTGCACATTGTATGCTGAGAATATTAAAACCGTCAATTTTTTGCACATCATTGGTCCCTACTGTTTACCTGCTAGGGTACTTTTCTTCTTTGTTCCATTTGGGGCTTCTTGTATGTTTCTGG